TCCCAGTTTAGAAGAATAGAGTCAGCGCCTTCGTCTATTTGTACAGAAAAAAGTATAGGCTGACTGGGGCCACAGGCAGACGGACCAAAATCCAACAACTGAGCTCTCCTGCTAAAATCCCTGGCCTAACCCCTCCCACTTGGAGGAGGTGCAATCAGGACAAGCTAATAAGGGAGGGAAAGGTGGATTCTGTCTCTAATGTACTGCCTTTCTGTATACTTGGAGACTGCAGAAACCAAGAAGAGAGAGAAAAGAAGCTAATTATGGAGCAAAGAGCAATATTTGTGTGTGGGAGAGGGTGAGAGGGGATTCCTGCCTTTCATCTTGAATGGAGGAGAAAGGGCATTAATATAGTTTGATTTGTAGGGATCTTAACCATTTTCTGTAACGTTCTCCAAAATGTCTCTTTCATGAAAAACTAGTAAGGATATGCCAATTCTAGGTCATACTGAAATTCTCCAAGTGCTTCCCTTCAACATTATTCCTTCTCTTCTGTCACCATCAGCCCTCCCTCCCCCCGCTGCCCTCCAAAAATAACCCAGCATCTGGACAATCTTCTATAAAAGCCAAACTCCTTTAGTCATAGTTCTAACTCAAAATGCAGATGGAGTCTCTTCAAGGTTTCTGTAAAAAGGGAAAAAAAGTCCCTACGGACAAAGACCAAACACTAGAAAATCTCAACCTCAAAGGTCATTTTTCTCCAAAGTTATAGGTACTTGAATACAGATGAGAAGCAAAACAATAGGCAGAGCTTCTACAAAGCAGTGTGAAAAAGACTACCCAGGAGCCAAATGGACAGCCAGAGAGGACTCAGGGAGGGATGAAGGCAGCAGCCAGGATGTCAGCTTCCCAGATGGGAAGAGTTGGGTGTCCCTCCCTCCTTGGTCATCTAGACAGCTGAGGTTACTTCCTCCTCCCCATGAGCTGTGGCCTATACCTCATTTTCCTCACTTACATTTGCTTTGGTCTCTTCTGAACACTGAGGTGGTAAGAAAACTTGCCCTGAGGTTAAAGATGCACAATTAAAGATCCCACCAAAGCTTTCAGGCTGCTCTCTGGGCCTCAGGGTCACAACAACCATTATTTGATGCACATGCATACCAAAATGAGCAACATGAACTCCTGCTAGTGAAGACAAAGGAGCCACAGTTCTCTTAAATCAGATAAAAATCTAGTTCTATATCAGAACCAATTCCCAAAACAAAAAAGGAATCACATTCCTGAAATTTAGAGCCTCTAAAATGTTTTAAACCAACTAAATTAACATTTAAGTAAAAAAAATGTTTTCAAATGAAAAACAATCTTATATTCAACTAATACCTATCATGTTAATCTGAATCAAAACATGTAAAACAAATAAAATGAGCACAGAGACCAGAACACAAAAGCCTATTACTGACAAACCAACCACTCCAAGTTCACCTAGCTGAACAAAGTACAAAAATAACAGCAAAAATGATGACGAATGGAAAATGCCAGATGCTTACCATATTTGTAACCAATATTGTTACTCACCCAAGTACAACAGAGCTTACACCTGTTAGTTTTTCATGATGGCATTCCTTTAGGACAGTCCCAATAAGCTGACTCAGAGACTTTTGAAAACCAGAGACAGATGAGAAAAATAAGTTCACATCCAGCCTCCAGACAGACTCTGGCCCAAAACCTATTACTGGCCCCTACACACCCAGAAGTATGGCATACTCTAGAAGATTTAGAAATGAACTATGCAGAGATCTTGGGTAGAAAGGAAAAGAACTAGCTGGTCAGGAGTTGGAATGGATCTCATTCAAGATCCCAGCCTCACCCCCAAGAGGAATGCAGATCTTACCTGTTAAGTGGACAACCATCACACCATTCTAAGGGAAAGCTGATATAACTTACACATCACATTCTAGTTCTTTTACTGTCTCTTCTGGAAGTTCTTTCTTATCACAAATCTCAATCTTTCTTGCTTCCATTTATATTCATTTCTTTCTTGTCCTTTTTAAAATGAAGAGCAATATACTGACACACTACTTGGAACAATTACTCCCCATAAGATGAAGTTATTTAGTAGGACAAGAAATCAGTTGTCAAAATTATATTCCATTTTCCTTTCTTACTAAGTCCTGTTTTTTGCCTATAATGATATTTGTTCCTTTTATCCTGAGCTTTTCCACTTCCCTTGCTGACCAGAGACCTAAACAGCACAGAGGCTCTGATGAGAACCTGACTTACGATGACCTCATTGAAGGATGCTGCCCTGTCTGGAACTGAAAACTTCTTTAATCCATCCTCCAAGCTTTTTCTGAATCCTAATCAGGATCCCACTACTTGCAAACCTTAAAGAAAAACAAACAAAAATTTTTAAAGAGAAAGGTTTTAAGTTGCCACTAATAACACGTCTTAGGCTGCCCATGCCTTTCCTGAGAGTGGTCCAAGGGGTAGTCCAATACAGATATGTGACCCTAAACTCATCTTTCCAACTGTTGATCACAGCATTGTAGAGGCTTAATGAAGTTGAGATGCATTACATTTATCACTTGTCCTAGATCCACTCAAATCCATCACTATGTCACAGCAAGAAGTTAGATTGATCTGACAGGATTTTCTCTTCTTCACAAACCCATGTAAGTTATTACTCAGTATTCCATGGTCTTCTAGCTGTTTGCTGATTGATTATCTGACGATCAGGTCAAGTATCTTCTCTGGAATCACAGTAAACTAATGGGTCTATAATTTCCAAGATCATTCGTATTTCCCTTTTAAAGATAAGCAAAACAGCAAATGCTTCTTCTTGAGTTCTCTAAAGCAACAGCTAATGCTTTGCTAATAATGCACCAGGGCAGCCAATTCCTTAAGTGCCCTTGGAATCACATCATCAGGGTTCATTGATTCTGGAGATAATCTTTAATCAGGCTCAGATACTGGTAAATAGCATGAAGCTCTAACTCAGCCTTGGTGCCTAAGTCTGGGAGGGAAGTTGATGATACAAGTGATTTAAATCTGTACTGCATGTGTTCAGCATTGCAATACATACATACATACATACATACATACATAAAACAATGCCCTTGAAAGATAGATGAAAGGTGAAATTGACAAACCAAATTGAGACATGAATCAGGCTCTACCTTCAAGAACACTGGCAGGACCTTCTGCAGAACAAGAGAATAGAATTACACAATTATCTGAGTTTATAATCTAACTGAAAAGAAACACACATATATAAATATCTTCCAGGAAACAGAAAGCAACAAATGCCATAATGGAGGTGCCAAGCAGTTATGAAGGTTCAGAAGAGAGATGAATCATATGCAACAAAGATGTGTAGGATTTTAGACTCATGTACCACTAGGGCTTACTCAAGAACTGAAACCCAATCTGTGAGGGAAATAATATGGAATCCCTAATTTCCAACTTGGGAAACTCTACAAACTAAACCACCCAGGCACACCCACCACGCCAGATGCAGAGAAGATTGCTCTACAGCACAGGCAGGAGCAAATGGCAGAGAAAGTAAACATGGCTTAGGTAGGTACCAAGCTGTATTCCCTTCTATCCAAAGCTCCTTCCCCAGGGCACTGTCCTTATCCAGTTCTGATATTCCAAGGCCTCGGCAGGCCTGATTCCAATGCCCCAGAAGCAAATCCTGACTTTAACAGAGAATAGTAAAGAGAAGAGAAAAGAAAAAGCTTTAAGTAAAATAAAATGCCATTCTATAAGACAGACCCTCTTCCTGGAAAAAAACAACCACAAGAGATGAAGCCAGTTTATTCCTAAAAGGACCCTACCTCCCTGTCTCCCAAGTCTCCAATGTTGAGGTCTTCTTCTCCCTCTTCTGCTTACTACTGAAAGCTACTCCCAACAAAGCAGTATGTCTATGCATCCCAAAATTAAACACTCTATAACCTAGCTCTGCAGAGAAGAGTAACAGTCCTACATCCAGGCATACTTGGGGCCCTCACACTACAATAAAGTAGCACATTGGCCCCAACTATTTCCTCAAAGCAAACACCAAGCCCTTCATTATCACCCAGTACAGGTGCCTCTCAGCTGCTATTCCAAGCTTCCCTTTTACCTTAAAAGGTAAAAGGCCTTTATACATAGTTGGTGACTAAGGAAAAAAGCAAGCGAAGAAATTTTCCTTTTTAACACATCAACAATGGTACTTTAGTTCAGGTATCTAATACTGCATAACAAATCATCCCAAAACTTGTGACTTAAAGCATCAACAATCATTTGTTTCTATGTGTCAGAAATTTAGGAGTGGCTCTGTTGGCTGAGGGTCTCTCTTGACGTTGAAGTTAGATGCCTACTGGTACTGTGGGCATATGAAGGTTTGACTGAAGCTGGCAAATTCACTTCTAAGATGGCTCACTCACATGACTAGCAAGTTAATAATAGCTTCTTGATTACAGCCTCAGCTCTATACACATGTGCCTCTCCACAGGACTGCTTGAGTATCTTCACAGAATGGTGCCTAGCTTCTGCCAGAGCAAATGATCCAAAAGAGCAAAGCGGACTGCAATGCCTTTTATAACTTAGCCTCATAAGTCACACATTGCCTCCTTTCACTATACATTATTGGTGAAACATGGTTATCTCTGGACTGTTAAGAGAGGACTTCTAAGGGTAGGAATACAAGGAGTTAAGGATAGCTAGGGGTCATCTTGGAAGCTTGCTACCATAATACTCCTTTAAAGAACAAACGGCAGTGGCAGAATAAGGGAGTAAAAAGAGAAAGAAAAGAGGAAGGACAGGAGAGAAGGAAATATTTTGATTTCCAAAAAAGCTGAGACTAGAGAGAAACAATGTGACCAATCCTCCAGAGACCTCTCAGGTTTATCCTGCCCTAGCATATTTGGACAAAGTCCCACTTCTTAGGCAGGAACTCCAGATGAGTAGCTAAAAGCCAGGAAGACATGAGAAAACTAGTCTGGGTCCCAAGAAACAAGACTCTCCTCCCTCCCTCATTGCCCACCCCACCTTTTCTGAAGCAATGATACAACCATTACCTGAGGATGAATCTGTGGCTTGTCGCACGTGGCCTCAAAGTCCAGCACTAAAAAGTAGTGATACCTCTGGGGAGGGAAGGACACCATTGCTGCCATGGATGCGCCAAAGCCGTGGGCCGCCAGCTTTCTGGTGGATATGGAGCAGAACTCCGGAACACCACAGGGAGAAAATAAGTGGGAGCCCAGCACTTTTCTTGCTCTTGAAAGTAAATACGAAGAAAATCGAGCTGCTCCAGTCTGTAAAGGTGCTAGCATTGAACATCCAGAAGCATCTAAAACTTAGGGGAGGAAAGTTAAAAGAAAAAACAAAAAACAAAACAAAACAAAAAACAGAGAACCTGGGTTACTCCCCTCCCACTGTAGCCCTGTTCCATCTAGTCTTCAGGAATATCCATGCAACATGAGCCACTCCCCAGTGTTTCTGGACCCCTTGTCTAAAGCACAGTATTCATTACTAAAGTTCAAGACCCTAACACCAGCACCTGCAGCATTATTACAGCTCTGAGTCTCCCAGATCATTCTGAAAACAATATGCAATACTGGCCTTCATCTTTAAATGGAGCACTAGTTCAAAAGAGAACAGAGAAAATTTCTGCAATGACTTCTCAGGTGGCAACAGTTAACTTTAAAGCTAAGGGTCCCAAAGAAATAAGAGGTGACCCCATTGCACAATCAGTCCTGGACGCTAAGTAGACTCAGACAAACAGTGGGAAGTGTCCAAGGCTCTCTTCGGCTCCATTACATGCCATCTGCCCCAGCTCTCCTGTCTGTGTCTCCACATACTCTCCACAGTGTGAAAGTGAACAAAGCCAATCCCAGGGGAGTTTGTTCACAACATTCTGGTGATTCCCCAACCCCCACACCAGTAAGCGGCACCCTGGGGGAATGAACAAGGCCTGAGAACACAGCTGGCAACAGCCTCAGGCCTCCTCATTTGCTGCCTTCAGTCTCACTCTCTCCGAGAGGCCCTGAAGGACTGTGGGGCTTTTTAAATAGGGAAGAAAAAGAAAAAACCCAGATGTGGCAGTAATGGGAGCATTGCTAAAAGTCTAGTAAAGTTTTCTGAGGCAATGTGTGCAAAAAAGAAAAAAAAATTCAAATCACTTTTCCTTACATTTTCCCTTTAAATTTACACAGTATCTGCTCCTCAGAGGGCTAACTAAATATAAAATCAAAGCCTAAGTTTTATTCACAAATAACCAAAACTTTAAAAAAAAAAAGAAAGAAAGAAAAGAAACAAAGCAGAAATTTTGTGTCCTTTCCCTCTTCATACCCAATCACTCAAATTTCCCTCAACTTTAATCCTCAAAGAAATCTTACCATTGGATACAGAAGCCCCATTCAAACAGAGCCAAAGGCTTGCCTATCTATGAAGGCTACAAATAGGCACCTGGTTCGTTCCATGTAGGGGAGTGGAGATAGCATCCTGTGAAGTGCAAAGCATACTCAAAGGCAAAGAGGTCACTATGACCTGAGCAGAAAAGGACAACGCCAAGCATCACTTCTCTTTCCAGCTCTCTCCTGGCTTCTTGAATGACCTACAATCACTTGTCTGCATATTTATTAGAATATATGCTAGTGTAGGTCTTCAATTTCCCTATTTGTATAGTGAAACGTCATGGAGTTGGAGTGAAGACTAAGAAGGACTTTTAAGTTCTTCATGGATCCTGCATAAGCACAGCTCTTGTTTCCACCACTACTTTACAGCCTCCCCAAAAATGCAGCCCAAACTCCCTCAGTCCAGGTAGACAAAGGCTACCTTGTTTGAAAAGGGAAAAGGGTCAATATCCAAAAAGCCAGAATCTAAAATAATCCATTATATCACCCATTCCTGAAAAATACTGGGAAACCTTATTGAGATGGGAGACACCAGTCTATTCCATTATCCATTCTAGTATGGACCCAAAGTCCTTCAGGGCTTTATAACTCTTATCTAACCCCTCAAAGTCACACCATGCACTTTTAAAACCCTTAATGCTACCCAGTGTCTATAGTATATAGTCAACTAGACTCTGCCAAATACTACAAGCTATTAGCACTGTGATTAACCAGGACTTCCAAGTTTGAGTCCTGAACTTTTACCACTCATTAGTCATGCCACCTTGGATGAGCTCTATTCTCCAATTCCTCACCTATAAATGACAATAACAGTACCTACTCCTTAAGTGAAAATGAAATGAGATAATACATGTCAAGCACTAAGCAGTGTCTGGCACGTAAGTGCTCAATAAATGTTAGCTTACTATTATTACTACTACTATCCAATTGGTTTTGCCCCCATGGCCAACCTTGGATCCTCCCTCTGGGCCTATAAATCAAACAAATGCATAAGGCAGTCTTAGGGAGTTACATCAATCTCTCGTGCATGCCTAGAATGCTCTAGAACTCACAGGGCACACTATATATACCCTATCTCCTCTGATAGACAATATGTTGATGGGTAGAAGTTCTCTTGCCTACAGACCTTGTTTTCTCACCTGATTTCACCCACATCAAAAGGGTCTCCTGTAAGAAGTCAAGAATACATATGAAGAAGCCAGTCCTCTATATGTCAGCAGTCACTGGGTTCCACATTTCCCTTACTTCTAGTAACCAAATTCATCTTAAGTCAAGAAACTGAAGGTAGTTCTTCCTGAAAAATTCAATCCTAAAACCATTAAATGCAGAAGGTAAATATCTATACCAGTGGGAGTAAGGGGAAGAGAAGGGATGTGGAGGGAGTGTCAGAGCTCAGGAAGGGTGAAGATGGCATCCATGCAGAGGCAGGAAGGTGTGCAGTAGCATGTCAGAACCAAGGGCACATGCAAAGGACATTCTTGTTGGGGGCATTAAAATGTGGGAAGTCATGCGCAAGATAAAAGAAGCACTTAGAGGAATAAAGTGGCCCGCAGTAGGAGTCTAGGTACATAAAGAGGGATTGAGCAAAGAAACACATATATTAAGGATAATGGGAACCAGGTTTCTATTAAAGAAATTAAAATATGGAAGGAGAGAAAAATCCATGGTGTTGGGCTGGAATTGGCAGGAAGAATGTGAACTCATGGTTTCTGATATAGATATTGATATATCAACATAGATGTAAATATGATTATATATGTATATACACCCCCTCACAGACATATACACACATACACACATATATTTTCTAGGTCTGTCTGAGAAAGGCCAGAGAGCAACAATGCTGAATATTAATGGGCACACCGAGCCCTCAATTGCCTTCTAAATAGCATTCTTTACTAAAGAACCCAAGCCTCTTGGAGAAATGGCTGATTCCAGGGCTGTGGAAGAAAAAGTACAAGATGAGCCTAAAATATCTTGTTATTCCACAAAGGGAAATGCTCAAAGAATGAAGGGAACATATCAAAAGACCACAAAAGTCATCTTAAAGGGACTCCACTGGCCAGCAAATAATGATAGTAATGAATTATGATGCACTGAATAAAGTAGGAAACCATGAATCCACAGATATGAATAAATACATACAACTAAAGTTTATTGAAAAATAGTTACATATCTTCAAAGTACCTTGCCACAAAATTCTTACTAATTACAATGTAAAGTAATTTATAATGGAGAAACCTGGCAGACATCACCTTAATCAACTGATCAAAAATAAACATCACTGATAATGGGATAAATCAAAATCATGTGCCATTTGAAAGTTTGCAATGAAAAGAACAAAGCATCATTTCCTGCTGAAGAGGCATAACCTGAATCTAATTCATAAGAAAATAATAAAAAAATTCTAATTGAGAGACACAGTTACCAGCTTGTAATCTTCAAAAGTATCAAAGTCATGAATGTCAAGGAAAGTTTTCTGAGGAAAGTCTAAAGGAGACTAAAGAGACCTGGTAATTAAATGCAACCCACAATTCTGAACCATATCATTTTGCTACAAAGAACATTCCTGGGACAACTGGCAAAACTTAAATGGGATTTGTGGATTAGATGGAGGTAACATATCAATGCTAATTTCCTGATTTTGATGGTTGTATTGTGGTTAGGTAAGAAAATGTCCTTGCTTGTAGGAAATACACTAAAAGTATTCAGGGTGATGGGGCATTAGTTCAGGAACTTAATCTTCAAATGGTTCAGGAAAAAATTCTTTATATTGCAGTTCTAACTTTTACATAAATTTGGGCTGTTTCAAATTTTTTTTAATTATTTTTTAAAGTCCATGTGTAGGGCTGGGAGTATATCTCAGTGGTAGAGCACTTGCCTAGCATGCATAAGGCCCTGAGTTCAATACTCAAGACAGTAAAATAAATAAAATATGTAAGGTTAAAAAAATCGCTTTTGGCTAAGATAATTTGTAATAAATAAATAATAAAATCCATGTGCAAAGTAGTTTTAAAAACAAAAAACAACCTTGGCATGGTGGCTCATGCTTGAAATCCTAGCTCCTTAGGAAATGGAGATCAGGAGGATTGCAGTTTGAGACCAATCCAGGCAAAAAGTTCGAGACCCCATCTTAATCAATAATACCTGGGAGTGGTGGCACACAGTTGTCATCCCAGGTACACAGTAAGTATAAATAGGAGGATTACAGTCTGAGATGGCCTGGGCATAAACAGTGAGACCTTATTCCAAAAATAGCTCAAGCAAAAAGGGCTAGGGGTGTGTCTCAAGTGGTAGAGCACCTCCCTAGCAAGTGCAAGGCTCTGAGTTCAAACCCCAGTACAACACAAAAAAAAAGAAAGAAAAAACCAGAATAGACAGTACATGAAGACATCTCCCCATAATATGCCCACAGAAGGTAGGATGCATGCTCTCCTTAAGCAGCAAGGCTAGAAAAAGCCAGTCCTCAAAGCATCCCTCAGCCCAAATAGTCTTTTCTATCCAACTGAGTCTCTATCAGAAAAGCTCCCATGCAATGCCCCCCTCACTAGAACTCCGGTGCCCATACTGTCTTCCCAGGAAACACTCCTATACTCCCTGCAGTAACATCCCACCTGCTCTTGTACTCCCTAGCAGTTTAGAGATTTCTTTCCTACTGATACCTTCATACTTTATTTACAGGTTTGCAGAATATAAGTCCATAGCTTGCAACATCAACTAGGACTTGGAGAATCTGGTTGAGGGGCAAAATTTAAAAAAAAAAGTTTATGATTCTCTGTATTTCTGCAAACTATCTTTTATCAGAGCCAAGATTTATATCCATTTATTCTCAGACATCTTTTTCCTTCTCCTAGCAAATTAAAAGCAGTAAGCAGCCTATGGCAAGAGGGAACACCAATGATTCTCACCTCAAAATAAAGGGATCAGTCCCTCAGTGGGGCAGGGAGGGGTAAATAGCGACTACCCCAGGGTCTGCCTGATTTGGAGAAACAGGCCTGAGCCACAGCCCCTGGAGGATGGTCTCTGTGCAGATTATTTACACAATAGACACCAATGGCTCCTCTGCAGCCATTACTGTCTATCAGGTAAATAACACATGTGCCAAGACACACATTTAATGAGGGAAATAATATGCCTTTATAAAAAGACTCAATCTATATTTACCTGAGAGACCAAAGAAGCACCAAATCACCAGATTAGTGGAACCACAGAGGAATCATTCTGGTGTCTTGGGTAAACAGACATTTTATAGCTTCTATTACTGGAGAGGGAAGGAAAGCAGAGGGAGGGGGTCATCCTTCAACATCCACATACACAGACTGAGGAGCTTCAATGATGGCACAAGAGGAGATCATCAGGAAACATGCAGTCTACTCCCACTTCACCTCCCCAGCTATACAGACTTGAAGTCACTGGGAACATATACCAGTGGATTCAATACCATGCCTGGATTCAATTCATGCCATTAAAAGACAGGACTGGGAGGCAGAGGTACATTCCAGAGAAACTCTAAGTTATTGGAGGCAGGTTCTGAGTCCAGCTGACTGGAAGAAACTGGGCCACAGAACTTCAACTTCCTCAGTTCCCAGTTCTGGGGCAAGTCCCTATCCCAGAAGCAACAACAAAGAACACGGTACTACCTGCCTAGAACTCACAAGGTCTCAGGCTTTATATCAGGCAGCTAAAATAGTCTGGGAAAAAAACACAAATAAACTGCATACCTTTAAAAGTCATAATCTTTGATCTAATGAAGACATCCTTAGTGCCAGAGCACTTTCTGTGAAAAATCACAGACTGTCAAAGAGGAAAGAAAACCTAAAAAACAACACAGTCCAGCCAGCCAGGGAAAAGGAAGCTCAGGAAGAGAAAAGGACTGCCCAAGGTTCACATGGCAAGAAAGAGAAAGACTAGAACCCAGGGCTCTCAACTCCAAGGCCAGGGTCACAGGCCACTGCTCCAATCCAATGTAAGAAGGAGGCCTCACACTCACCCCCGAGCTTCTCCGCACTGCTCATGGAAGAAGCAAGCCCAAGTACTCTGGCAAAGGCTACAGGATGGAGACAAAACAAAGTCTGACCTTTCCTGAACCTTGACATGACTTCCTGATGGCTCCAAAGTGGAAAGGAAGCAAGAACTCTACCATGGAGTCCTTACTTCAACAAAACACTCTTCTCCTGTCTGTATCCTATCACTATCTTGGTCTACGGCTGTTGTTTCTGTTCCAAGGCAGATATAGGAGAGCTTCCCTGATATCAGAAAAACACCTGCTAATCCAAACCACCTGGTGACTGCAAAATGAAGTCATCAAAAGCCTTCAGGAACACCAAATACTGATGGCAGCATCATCAGCCACAGGGGGCTGGCTCTCCCTTTTAATCAGCCCATCTCAGCAGCTCAAGGTGGCACTTGAAGAACTTGTTTATGATCTGCCTATTTGCTAAACCATAAGCCATGCCTACCAGCTTGGGCAAACTCCTTCCAGGGGCTAAAAGCTGGAAGGCATTTCTTTGCAAAGTCCTTCAGGTCAGTTGCCACTCCATCACATGAGAGGGCACAAAGCCTTCTTTCCTAACAAAACCATATATAAGCTAGAGGTGGAGAGAGGGTATAGAATTGTTCCGTTTAAGAACCTCCCATACTTATAGACAGCATCTTCAGAAGAGTGGCATCCAGAGCTGTTCAAATACCTTCTTTATTCCTTCTGTCAGATGGAGAGCTGGTATGGAAGCAGAGTCAGACAACCTAGCAACATTTGTTAAAACATGGGTATTAGACAAATGTAGGTTCAGACCCTAACTCTACTACATATTATTTGTAATAATAACTATAATAGCCAGGCACCAGTGGCTCACACGTATAATCCTAGCCACTCAGGAGGCAGAGAGGAGGATCAAGGTTCGAAGTCAGCCCAGGCAAATAGTCTGCAAGACTCTATCTCAAAAATACCCAACACAAAAAAAGGGCTGGTGGAGTGGCTCAAGTGACAGACTGACTGCCTAGCAAGCATGAGGCCCTGAGTTCAAACCCTAGTACTGCCAAGAACAACAACAACAAAAAATAGTTATAATGATACCTGTATCTTTGGGTTCAATTCAATTACACAGTGTATATAAAATACTTTACACAATAGTAAATGCTTGGGCTGGGGGCATGGTTCAAATGGTAGAATGCCTGCCTCGTAAGCACATGACCCTGAGTTCAAACCCCAGTACCATCAAAAATAAAACAAAACGAAACAATAGTATGTGCTTACAAAAGATAGTTACTATTGTTAACCTATGAGAGAAGAAAAGGAAATACCATTTCTGAAAAAGTACTATAAATTAGACATTGTGTTAGTGAGTTAATTTTATCTCATTTATTCCTCCCAACAATCAAGCAAAATAGATAACAGTATTTCCATTTCAAACATGAAGAAATCAAGACTCAGAGGCACTTAACCCTTTGGGGCTCCGTTTTCCTCTACCGTATTTGATGATCTACATTTCCCCACTTGACTGATTCTCCCAACACAGAGCTAACAATGCTTATCAACTTCAATATTTCTTTTGAGGTAAGGTGTGATTTTTAACCAAAATAACTCAACCTTCAGCAATAATTAGGCCTGTCTAAATCACCCAAATGTGTTTCCATAGTAATTTTTTTTTTATATTTTAAAATGAAAACCAAGGCTGGGCACAGTGGTTCACACTTGTAATCCCAGATACTTGGATTGCAGACAATGAGATGACTCCATTTTGAGGCCAACCTGGGCAAAAAGTCCCCAAGACCCATCTCAATCAGAAGCCGGGCATGGTGGTAAATGCTTGTCATCCTAGCTATGCAAGAGGTATAAATAGGAGGATTGCAGTCCAGGCCAGTCCCAGCAAAAATGTGAGGCCCTATTCAAAAAATAATAAAAATTAAAAATGGCTAGATGCATGGCGTAAGTGGTCGAGTGCCTATCTAGCAAGCGTGAGGTCCTGGGTTCAAACTCCAGTACTGCAAAAACAAACAAAAAAAGACAAAAAGAAAACTAAATTACAACCCCGAGCGAGGCACTGGATTAAAACAAAGAACTGAAAAGTTTCTTTTCAAGCACAATTCTAGAGGTGCAAATCTCCCCCACCTCATAGGGTAAGAAACTAGCAGGGGGCAGGGTTACAGTTAACTCTCAAAGTTCCCAAATGTAACTTTTACAAATCTAGACCTTGGCAAATGCTACTCCCTCTGTTTTGGAAAACACTTCCATTTTCCAGCAGGTAAATTATCACTTTCTTCAAAAGCCAGTTCAAATCTTTCCCTTTTAGTAGCTTTTCTCTAATACCCCATCATAAAGTTAATTGCTTAAGTTTGAACCAGCAGCACAGTTTATTCTTATTTCATGACTTTTATCTCACTATATGGAGATGTTAGATATCTGTTTCTCCTACCACTAGTAATTTTCAAGGAGTTAAGGAAGAAGAATGGAAGATAACAATATAGGCATGTGTGTGTAAAAAAGTATATTTGATTACTCCCTGCCTTTTTTTTGTTAGACCCTTTTGCACATTTACAATTTTCATGTCACACTAAAGAAGAGCATGTGATTAATTTTTTAACCTAAACTGTGTATGAGTTTTAAAAGCCTGGGAACACTGAGTTGGATTCTTAAGGTCAAGGATCATTTTATTCATTTCTGTATTCCCAGCACCCAGCACAGAGCCAAGCACAAAGTGTGAGAAAAGGTTTGCTGAATGAATTAGTATGTCCAAAGTCACGGTGCCAAGTGCTCTGGAATTAGAACATGCCAGAACAGAATACAGCTCAAGCACAAAATAAAGCTTCTCTTCTTTCTTTCTCTATCCTTCTCCCAGCCCACCCCATCTGTTTTTCCCAGTTGGGGAGGGGGAGGGAGACAGAAAGAGAGAGAGAGAGAGAGAGAGAGAGAGAGAAACAGAATTGCCATGGTGCAGGAATACTATTAAAAGGATTAATTTAGGGACCGGTGTTTGGACTGTCACATCCAATCACTACCCACAGATCTACAGCTTCCCAAATCAGGCTCATGCAAAGAAGAATCAATTGCAAGGACACAGAGGGTCTGAACAGGCATACTAATGGCCTCCTGAGGTGCCAGCGGCCAGCTTTGACACTCCCATAAATTATCTGCCTTTTGATTTTACCTGTAGCTGTGGGGCACAAGGCACAATTTTGAACATATCAAAGCAATCCCTCGTAACCCAAGGCTCCCCAAGGAATGTCTCTCCAAGGAGGAAAGGCTAAAAACAACAACCCAAAGGGAATCTGCTTCCAAACAGGTTTGTTCCTAGCAGTTATCAATTAAAACCCAATAGAACCAAGTGGACAATGGAGGACCCAAATCAAGCCTAGCAGATCTGGACAAGACATGTACCAGACTTCAGCTCTTTAATGACTACACACCTCTCATTCAAGGAAAGCCAAATAACAGCAATCAACCAACACAATTTCATCTGGAGGCAAATTTGCACTAGCTTTGATGGCACCTCACAGCGTGACCTTGGGCAACTCATTTAACCTTCTTGGGCTTCAGTTTCCTCTTGTCCTCACATGGTATCAAAGAAACAAATGCTGATCACCAGACCCACTTCCCAGAGTGGAGGTGAAAACTAATAAAAAACATTCAATAGGCACTTAACAAAGATGCAAGGCTACAAAGGTGGCAACACTAATAAATGACCCCAGACAGACAGGGAGAGAAGACTAGTCATGCTTTGGTAAATTTCTTCTATTGGGAAGCTGCTTACTCAATTCACTTCACTGATGGTGTTGGGACTATGATCTATCATGAAAAAAGTTCTGGGATTCTGAACAAAACTCCTGCAGTGTGCAAATTTTCCACTATGAAGAGCAGTATCTTTAGCTTTTTTATTTTTTGTGGTACTGAGGTTTGAACTCAGGGCCATAAGCACATGCTAGGTAGGTGCTCTACCATTTGAGCCACTCCACCAACCCCAGTACCTTGCTTTAGTTGTAACTTTCTCCTCTGTGGTGGCTGCCACCATCAGGGATTATATTTCTATTTTTATTAGTTTTATTTATTTATATAATTATAGTTATTTAGTTATCTATTTTTTAGTTTTCTTATCTTTTGTGTGGTGTGTTTGTTTATTAATCTCTTAAAGTTCTATTTCTCTTTATTTTTTATTCTTATTCTGCCTGCTTTTTTTTAAAATTATTTTTTTAAATTTGGTTGTTGTATATACTAAAATATAAAGGTACCAAGACACTGCGCTAAGAGCACTGGTACATTTTTCTTAAGTTCTTTATTCTATATCTCTCTGTAAAGTCTCATTTATCTCTATATATAGTTATATTGTTAATATTGTTGATAAGTCTCAGTGACATAAGTTCCTTATTTTTGTTCATATTGTTTACTTATTTATTATCTTTTTATCTACTTTTATTTTATTGTTATTTATCTCTTTTATTTCTATGTGTTTCTTTATTGTTGGTTTCTATCTATTTTGTCTTATATTTTTATTTTTCTCTTTATGTTATAGTGTATGATGTGTTATATTTTATTTTATTGTATTTTCTTAATGTGATGGATATATCTGTTTCCTAGGTCCTCAGTCCAGGGCAATAAGTTTTCAACGGAGATCCATCTCAACGTATATCTTTAGTGGTCTGTCTCTCCATATATAGCCTATCGTTGGGAGGCTGAGAACGGGAGGACTGTAGTTCCAGGCCATCCAGGGCAAAAAAGTTTGTAAGACCCCCATCTCAATGGAAAAAAGCTGGACATGGTGGTGCACACCTGTCATCCCAGTGACTGCAGGTTAGCATAAAATAGGAATTGTGGTCCAGGCTGGCCTAGGCAAAAAGCGAGACCCTATTTCCAAAATAACCAGAACACAAAAGGCTGGAGACATGGCTCAAGGTGTAGAGCACCTGCCTAGCAGGCTTGAATTCAAATGACAGTATTAAACACACACACACACACCTATCAGCTTCACTCCATCACTGCAAACACCCTGGGGCTCATAGGAAGAGGAAGACAAAAGGAAAGAGCAAACACAGGGTTCTGGGCTGGGCTCTAACCCACCCACCAGATAGATACTCAACGAATACTTCATTTGGTCCCTGACACATAACATCATACCTAAAACGGGAGACATTTCCAAAATCAGGCAAAGGTCATCAGTCTGCTTGCTACAAGCAAGGAAAGGAGAGACTAAGTAGGACATATATAGAATGAGGACAATTCCCGAGAAAGCTTAGGAAAATGGGTCAGTTTCTGTGTGTATACAGTTCAAGAAGTTCACAGCAAATGACATTAACCTATGAGCCCTAAAATCAAGATCCCTCCCAAAGCTCCATTTATTCCATAGTTCTTCCAATAGAAAATAGTTCCCAAAACTTTTTAATTCAGTCTACACTAACTTTCCCTTCCTTTATCTTTTCCAGGCTGTGAAACACATGATGGTATTTCCAACAATATACATACATATGCAAAGATTCAATTATACTTAGGTTTTTTGTTATTTGTTTTTTTGCCATACTGGGGTTTGAACTCAGGGCCTCATGCATGCTAGGCAGGCACTCTATCACTTGAGCCATTCCGCTAGTCTTATAGTTTTTAAGGAACAAAATAGTCCCACAATGACGAAATATAAAAATGTTATCCATATAACTGCCACAGCCTTCTTACTGGTCTCTAGGCTTACAGTATATCTGTTCCATTTAATCCATTCTTTACACTGACATCAAAGCAAACTTTTTACAACACAAATCTAACGTCAATCTATGGCTTACAACTTTTTTTTTTTTTGAGACTGAGTCTCACTAGGTAGCCCAGGCTGGTCTCCAACTTGAAATCCTTCTGCCTCAGCTTCCTAATTCTGGGATTACAGGAGTGTACCACCACACCCATCTGCTTATAACTTTTTAATAGCTTCTCACTGTTCTTAAGCCTGATCCAGGGATCAGCAAACTGCGGTCCTTGGGCTAAATCCAGCTGCCACCTGTTTTTACAAATAAAGTTATATTGGAACACAGCTATATTCATTCATTTTCATACTGTATATAGCTGTCCCAACCACAGTTGTATAAAGCAGTTGTGATAGAGACCCGCAGAACCTAAATATTTATTTATTATCTTGTCCTTTACAGAAAGTTTGCCAATCTTTTTTCCATCCTCTATCCAGCCAACCCCACCTCTGGTCTAATCCTAAATTTATATGATTCTGACCTCTGCTTACCTTTCCTGCTTCATTTCTCACTATATTGTCTGCTCCCTATCTACCTAGGCACTCTTTCAATCATATTAACATTCTCAAACTCAAGAAAGCTCTGAAACTTGGTCCCTTATGTCTTTATCTAATTCTAGGTGAGGCGGTAACTTCCTCTGAGAAGCCATCCCAAAGTCCACAAGTCCAGGTTGGGGATATTTCTGTCCTCCAAAGAACCTACACTTCCCTTATTATAGCACTCTTGGGTGTATCAAAAGTGCCTCTTTTCTATATATCTCTCCCATGAATTTGTTAACTCTGATGTCAGGCCTAGTATAGTGCCTGTCCCTTAGTTATTGAACAAATAGCCTCCAAGTCCCTGGATATCAAGCTTCAGATCCACCTTTGAAGCCAGTTCCTGATCTTGGTAAAATGTCATTAGGTCAGGACCAAACATCCACTCAAAGGTGATGTACAACCCAAATTAAACCAAGATCCCAAAGACTTTGGTCAAATATATTACCAAGAGCCAAATAAAAGTGTTTCTTGCTATTGTCTTAAGATGTGTATTTCTCAAGATAAAGGACTTTTCTGGCTCTATTTGACCATTCTGAACCTAAAGTAGGTGCTCATGAGGCACCCATTAAAACAAATCATGGCTAGACAAGGTGGTACATGCTCCAGCTACTCAGGAGGCTGAGGCAGGAGGATTGCAAATTCAAGGCCAGCCTGGACAACTTAGCAAGATTTTGTCTCAAAAGAAAAAAGAAAAAAAATTTTAAGGGGGCTGGGGATATATTTCAGTGTTAGAGCACTTGCCTAGCACACATGAGGCCCTGGATTCAATCCCCAATACTTAAGGAAAAAAAAAAAAGCTAGGCACCAGTGGCCCATGCCTGTAATCCTAGCTACTCAGGAGGCAGAGATCGGGAGGATGGAGGTTCGAAGCCAACCTGAGACCTTATCTCAAAACACCCAATACAAAATAGGGCTGGTGGAGAGGCTCAAGTGGTAGAGCAACTGCCTAGTAAGCCTAGCAAGTGTGAGGCCCTGAGTTTAAGACCCATTACCACAAAAAAAAAAAAAAAAAGAAAATTAAGAAAGACAGAACTCAACAGTCTGGATCCCCCACCTCCAACTCACTGTATTGAAACTTATTTTGGGTAAATTTCAATAGGTTTTGAGCATATATGGCCTTATCAGAAGTTACCGAAAAAATACAGTCTGCACTCACCCTACCCCCATCCCAGACCCACCAAGCCCAAATACTCAGAAGCCAAACTTGACCATGCAAAAGGATTCTCACCTCTCCTTACTTCGAAGATGCCAAGACTGGCAGCTGGGGATGCTGAAGGATCTGTGAGAGCTGGAAAGCCCCAATGCTGTGGATAAACACACATCTCTGCAACAAGTCTATTTCAATATAAAGGATCAAATCCCCACTAAGGAGCCTATTATACCTCAAACTACTAACCTCAAACTTTGGGATAATAGCTATCTATATGGAAAGACACTAAACCTATAGAGCTTTCAGAAGCTATTAGTACCATATTTGGTGTTGGAATGATCAATTTCATGTTGTCTAGTAGTATACTTTTCCTCCTCAGGAGGTTTATCTCAGATGTTTGTATTATCTGAGCCTGCACTGAGAAAGATGGCCATGACGTGGCTCACTAGTTTTAGAATCCTATTGAGAAGAGAAGACAAAGCTGACAATATTCAGAACTCAGGAACTGAGGGTGGGCAGGGACAGAAGGAGGGGTTGGTTGCTACAAACACACAGGCCATATTGCAAATGAGCACATACAACGGAAAACACTTTCAGAATACTTTCCAAGTCTGCCTCAAGTTCTAAAAAAGTCAAAGTACCAAAACCCCAAATCAAAACATCATGGGATACATGCCATATTTTATCACCTAATTAAGATCTTTCAAAGGGCCAGAAGTTGCAGAGGTGACCTTATAAGCTAGTGATGCCCTTCACACAAAGAAACACCTTTACCAATATATTCCTGTCCAGCATTCTACACATTTAAAACTTTATTCTACTCAGATCCCCTGGGAAAAGGCCAATCACCAATTTACCCCACCACAGAGAAAACACTTTTCAAAACGAAATGGAATAAAAGCACGTTTACTTGGAAATCTCAAGTTGGAGGGAGAGCTCTTAGCTAAGCTCTATGACCCAGCTAGCTGATTATTTACAGGATCTTTGGGCAGGAATTGTTAATGAGCTTTTAATTTGGAGCGCTTAAGTTGCCAAAGTGCTCTGAGCTCCAGTGAAGCACCACAGAATCCATAAAGGAAACCTTATCAATCACTTCTCCCGGCAGTTCCCTTCCCCCACTCTGCACCTCCAGCAGAAAGGCAGCCAAGTGGGTTTCTAACCAAGATCAGACACATTAGTGGAGTCACACTCCAAGTCCCTGTTTATAAATTGGCATTTAAATGGTAGGGGATTCAGGTATAATATACTTAAGCTCCAAGAACTAGCCCACCCAAATGAGGTATGCTGTATATGATAGTCAGAATAAAGCAGAATTTGATGAAGCCAAATTTCTGGTGGAAACTCTACAATCAAAAATCATTCAGCCAGTCACAACCTACTACAGTTTTTGACAATAATGGCTCCGATAGGTTTCGGTTCTTAGTGCACCCTTAAGTTTCTGTTTCCCAGGGTCATCACTTTGGGGCCTACAACAGTCAAATAGAGTACATAGTCTTTAGTCAATGGGATTCATGTCTTGTTGCTCTTTCCCTGAGAAACTGACGAAATATCTTACAAGAGCAAATACCACAGAAATAACCAGGGACTTTAGAAGCAAAGACAAAGATGGTCACTATTCTTTGCAAAATCCAACACTAAGGACAAACTCCACAACCCCAATGAGAGGTTCCATATCCAGGATCTTCCAAGTCAACAAGAAGCAGTTATACTCTCAGTCAAGCCTCAATCCAAGTTCATGCTTTTTTATTTTAAGAAAACACCTGTTGCTGGACCACTTGTAGTAAAGGCAAACAAAAAGTTAGCCAGGTTAGGCCCCATTTTTACTCCTTCTACCATCACTACTACCACAGCTTCAGATTTACAAAGAAGTAAACTGCTAATATTTGTGTGCGAGGGTCGGGGATAGGAGGAGAAGGGATGCTCTATGTCTACCATCTCCCTGCTCTGTTTCTAGCTCTGGTCAAACCTCTTTCCCCTCTCTAGTAACCCCAAGTTAGTGAGCCTCCTTAATTAACTCACCCCGTCTGTATTGCAAAGCCCTGCCCCGCTCCCCCTTCTCCAGAACGTTCCTCAGATCATGCATCCAGGGTGAGCACATAAGCCAGTACCCCAGGCTGCACAAATTGTGCGCGCCACGACCAACACCCCACATGCAGGGCCCAAGCCGGGGCAAAGGGGAGAGGGCTCTCAGCATCACCCACCCCAGGGTGTTGCCCCCAACTTGGGCCCATCCAAGTCCAGGGCAGCGTAAGGGGAGGGGCAGGGGGCCAGGAGACCAGCCCTCCTTCCCAGGGCCGTCCCCGTCCCCCGTCAGCAGCGGGAGAGGCTGTCGCCATGGCAACGCCCCCTCCTCGGGGCCAGCGCGGCAGGCTCCCTCCAGGTGCAGGCCCCGACGTCTCCCTCGGCCTCAGCAGGCGCTCAGGGCAGTTGACCGCGGCGGACGCGGTCTGCGCCGACTGCGGCGCTGTCCAGGCAAGGGAAGGGCCAGTTCCGCCCGCTCCCCACAGCCCGTTCCCGGCCGCCTCAACAGCGGCAGCCAGCACCACGAGTCCACAACACACCGACTCACCTCCGCGCACTCTGACCCCTACCGACGCAGCGGACGGGCGGGCGCTGTGGCCAACCGCTGAGCCCGCAACTTGCCCCTTTGACCAATGGGTTGTCGTGGGGCGGGGCTTCCTCTCCCCAAATGCTAGCTCTCCCGCCGACTTGCGCAATAGGGTGTGTCAAGATGGTGGTTGCGGGCGGCTGGCCTTATGGGACTTGTAGTTCTGAAGTTGCATGTACTCAGAAGAGAAGGGGAGAGTCACTTCTGAGCAGTGAACGGGGTATTTTTTTTTAAAAGAAAACTCCCTCAGGCCTCCAGCGACCCAGGTGCCCCACTTCCTTTTCCTCACCTTTCAATATATGCATAAGGTGAGTATAGACTCTTAAGGTAGCATTCTGTTTAGGTAACACCTTCTCATGATACATTAATTCAATAAGTAATTATTACCATCTACTCTCTGATGTGGGCCTGGGGGAGATGTAGGAATAGGAGAGGTGAATTAGGCTAAGAGGAAATGCTTAGATTTCTGAAGGGCCTTTCTAAGAGAAGGCTACTGTTTTGTTCCGATCCCTTTAGAGGAAACTTCAGGGTTGAAAGGATTCTAGTCCCAGCTGTGGGGAGCTTCCAGTTTCTCCAGCCAGACAGAACTCTCGTCAAAGCCAGAGCTGTGTTTCTCCATCTTGGTTATGCTTCTGTAGGAAGTCATGGATGCCAGGTTATGAACTGGAAAATCTCAGTCTTAACCAAGCCTGTGATGTCTTTAACAGCCTCTCAATCAATCAGTCAGAACCCATCTTATGGGCCAGCTTCACTTACCAAGCTCCTCTGTCAGTCATCTGCATATTTTCAATGATATCATTTCTGGACCCTGCTACCTCTGAAATCTTAACATAATGGTTCCTGCCCCAGCTGGAAATACCTGGTAATCCCCGTATCAGGGAATGTCTTCCTTAATCTCATTCATGTAATGGGTTGGGTGATTCTACTGTGCACCTACAGAATTGATCATAGTGTTTTATTTCCTTATCATCTCTCCCCCAGGAGTTTAAGCTGTTTCAGGATAAGGATTAATTCCATATTGTTCATGCTGTATTGGTTATACCCAGTATAGTGTGAGGCATAAAGCAGAATGCAATAAGAATGCAATAAATGTCTGTGAGCAAATGAAGGAACAAACAGAAGCAGGGCCAGGTATCCCAGTCAGGAAAGTGGAAACACATCTGCCTATCCCCCAAGTCTTGGATCTGGAATGAGATCTTCCTCATCTTGCTGCTATACATTAATCCCAGTTGGTCAATTAGCCAACATATATTTATAGTGTCTCTGGTAAGTATCAGGCACTGTGTGTTCCTGAGGATTAAATGGTGAATAAGACACACAAAACATGTATCCTCAAGGAGCATTTATATTGGAGAGGGAATAGGAAGAGGAAAGAACAGACAATAAACAAGTAAATATAAAAACAAGACAACTTAGAAGCCATGAAATGGCCTCTCCTGTGTCTGGCTTTCTGTTATCCTAAGTTCTGGTATGAAAACAGGGCTCAGTCAATATTCTTGTCTATAAGAATGAAGTAAATTTACCTATCTGGATTGGAGGACTCTTTAAGGCTCAGATCAAACATCCTCCATGTAGCCTGCCATAGTTCCTTTGACCTCCCCCCTACAAAAAAAATTGTGCTCTTTCTTTTTTGTGATCTAAGAGTCAGTTGTACAGCTTCCAGGACCCCATTAGGCTATAAACTCTTTTGTACAAAGACCAGGAAAATGTGTTCAAGTAATAGAACAGTTAGAGTTCAATATATACTTGGTGCCTTGTGCTGCTGCCTAACCCAGCATTTGGCTCCCTGAAGACTTAGCTTTGTTATGTGCTATTTGGTTCCCTTAAAAACAGAACATGAGGCAAAGCTTACATGCTTACATTTAATTGGGAAATATAAACTCAGAGCAAGAAGAGTAAAGGGGAAAGAGAAGTGAGTCAGGGAAGGAGGGAATGAAGATA